GCTTCTCATCCTGGATGTGCCTGTCTTGTTAAAATGCTTGCTCTGATTTGGTAGATGGGGGGTGGGGTCTGAGTGTATGCCATTCTAGTTTTTGGGTGGTATTAAGATTAGGTAAGTACACATTGAGTAGCCAGATTCCATATACAGCTGGAGTGCTCAGTGAAAACTGAAAACTGATTGTTAAACAAATGCTGGGGTATTGTTTTCCACTGTCCCTTTGTTCAGACACACACACACACACACACACACACACACACACACACACACACACCTCAAAGTTGTACGAGTCCATTGTTCTCAGACAGGATCTTGTCTTGAATTATCTATGTATAGGCTTGAACATATACTTCTTGTGATGGGATTACAGATTTACACCGCTGTGCCCAGTTTCTTTTTTTCTTTCTTTTTTTTTTTTTTTTCTTTTTGGTTTTTCAAGACAGGATCCTGGAGAGCTCTGTAGATCATACTGGCCTTGAACTCACAGAGATCCTCCTGCCTCTGCCTCTGGGGGTGCTGGGATTAAGAGAGTATGCCACCACGACCCAATTTCTTTTTCCCCTCCCTTTTTTTAGTTTAAAAAAAAAAGAAAGGTTATTTTATTTTATGTGGTTGACTGCATGTATTTATCTGCACCATGAGTATGCCTAGTGCCCACAGAGGTCAGAAAAGGGAGTTGGATCCCCTGGATCTGAAGTTACAGTCATTTGTGACTTGCTTTGTGACTGCTAGGAATTGAACTGGGGTCCTCTGAAAGGTCAGCCAAGCCAGTACTCTCTCCAGCCTCAAACCCTCCCCCCCACTTTTTGAGATAGTCTTGCTATGTGTAGCCCATGGCTGTCTTCTTACCTCAGGGTCCGGTACTATAGATAATTGCCACTGTTCCTGGCTAACCTTTAGCTTTTTAAACTGTCTACAAAATTTATTGGTTTCTCTGTATGTTGCCATATTTAAGTGCTTAAAAATATGTTGCTTAAAGGTGAACTTGTTTTGTTTCTTGAGACAGGGTTTCTCTGTGTTGTTTTGGTGCCTGTTGTACATTCAAGACAAATGTTCTACTTTCTTCTTCTTCTTCTTCTTCTTCTTCTTCTTCTTCTTCTTCTTCTTCTTCTTCTTCTTCTTCTTCTTCTTTTTTTTTTTTGTTTCTTGAGACAGGGTTTCTCTGTGTTGTTTTGGTGCCTGTTCTGGATCTTGCTCTGTAGACCAGGCTGGCCTCGAACTCACAGAGGTCCATCTGGCTCTGCCTCCTGAGTGCTGGGATTAAAGGCCACCACTGCCTTGACTGGCTTTGAACTCCTGATCCTCTACCTCCCAAGTGCTGGAATTCTAAGCATCTGCTACTTATGCCCAGTTCTCAGTGGGTTTTTCCATTCTCTTAAATCATTTGTACCTGTTTGCCTGTTAGTTTTCTTGGCCCTTTTCCAATATGATCCTCGTCCAGGCCCTGATCAGGATGAACCTGAATGACGAGACTGTTTTGTGTCCCTGATCTTCCCCTAAGCCTTCCATTCCTCACACGACTGTCAGATTATCTTCAGGGACAGATTTGATCTGGATCTGGCACTAGTCCCAGCTCTTACACTCACATGTGACCTCAGGCAAATCACGTTGTGCTCTTAGGGCTAGGCCTCATTCTCCCCAGCTGAACGCTGAGCAGTTACTGATTTCAAGGTTCACCCCTCACAGAATCTGTAGGGACCTTGTTTAGAGCCAGCTGCCTGCAGGAACACCTAGTAGCAGGTCTGATTTCCTTCACATGCTTCAGTGGGCAGACTGCCAGTGGTTTCCTTGTCCCAAGTCACTTTTGCTGGCACTGTGTCCTTTTTAGCCAAACAGCCAGCCTGTCTTCACACCCCGTGTCAACCTTCTTCTGCCTCTGTGTGCTCTTGTCAGTTGTGGGCTGTATTTCATTCAGAACTACCTGAAGTTCTCGAAGAAGTCGGCTTGAGTTCTCCATTCAGTATTAGCTGTCTGTCTGCATTACTAAGGGAGACTGTTGGGTTTTTTAGGCTGTATTTTGTATATAACCACATTTACTTGTAAATGCTTTTAAATAATGCATATTTTAAGTGTTTTCCTTCCACATTCCAACCTTTTAATATTATTAATATTTGTGTGTGTATGTAAGAAGTATGTGTGTATATGTGTATTTTTGGAAGCCAAGGTTCTTCAATCACTTAGCCCTTTTATATTTATTCATTTATATAGATCAGGTTGGCCTCAAACTCAGAGATCTGCCTGATCTTGTCCGTCCCCCCCCCCCCTTTTTTTTTTTGAGATATAGATCTGGCTATCCTGGAACTCACAGAGATCCATCTGCCTCTGCCTCCTGAGTGCTGGGACCAAAACCAAATT